GACCTCGCCAAGATACTGAAGAACAATGATGTCAGTCTGGAGACTAAGGTGCACCCGATCCAGACCATGGTCTTTGCATTTACTTGCTATGCATCAGAGAGCTGGATAATGACTAGGGATGATAGAAGGAGAGTTGATAATTTTGAGCTTTGGTGCTGGAGAAGAGTATTGAATATACCATGGACTTATGGAGAACAAACAAGTTTGTCCTGAAGAGGATGAAACCAGGCTGCTCCTTGGAGGCAAGGATTCTTGAAGCTCCATCTGACATACTTTGGACATGTTGCAAGGTGGGATCAGTCCTTGGAGAGGGACAGCACAAGAAAGGATGACCATCGATGAGATAGATTAATTCAGTCACTAGAGTAATAGGGATAGACGTGTTGGAGACAGTAAGTTTGGCAAGGGATAGAGCAGGGTTTAGGGCTGTTGTACATAGGTCACAATGAGTCGCAGGTCAATCAATGGCACATAACAACAACAACAACAACATATATATTTTACTCATTATTGCACATTTTATTCCCTCTTCCTCCAGTAGACACCACACTGTACTTCTTTTTCCAGACTGTTGTCTAATTATATACAATTCTTCCCCTCATCTGTTTTAATGCAGTACTTATTATCCATCCACTCTTTTCGCTTTCTGTCCCCAACTCACACTGCCCCCCACATGTTTGTCCTCTTTTATAAGAGCAGTGTTATGCATTATTTGTCCTTTTGTGACTGAGATAGTTCACTCAACCTAATGTCCTCCAGGCTCCCTCATGTTGTATAATGTTTTTTGAGTTCATTGTTTTTTTAATGCTGCATTATATTCCACAGTGTGAATGTACCATAGATTTCCTATTTGTTTTTTGATGGGCACTTGGGTTGCATCCATCTCTTTGCTATTGTGAATAATACAGCAATAGAACATGGGTATGAGAGCTCTCATGGCCTAATGGGAAGCATCTGTGCTGCAATCCCTAAGGCACAAGGTTCAAATCCACCAATAACTATGTGGAAAAAGATTGAGCACTCTCCTCCTATGCAATTAACTGCCTCTGAAAAACCACCTGAGGGTCAGCTATGGGTCTGTTCCAACAACAACAACAAACATGGATATGCATACATCTGTTTGAATAATGGCTCTGGTTTCTTTTTTAAAAAATTATACGTCATTTATTTATTTATGTGAACTTTTTATTGTGGTTTGATGGAAGTTTACAGTGATAATTCATTTTCTATTCAACAATTTATACACATTTTGTATCATGACATTTGTTGCATTTCCTTCAATGTAATAGCACTCTTCCTCCTTCTTTCCTTAGATACTCTCTTTCCATTAGACCTTTCCGGCCTTCTAAACTTTGGTTTTGTGGTTCTGCTTTCTTTAGGGTATATTCCCAGTAGTGGAATTGCTGGGTCATATGATATTTCCATTTCTGACTTTTTTTTATTAAATTTTATTAATTTTAATGAACATTACAGAGATTTGGGGTTTCCATTCATTCATTATTGCACTATTTTCTCTATCCCCCCCCCAGTTCGTTCCTCTCTTTTTTTCCCCCTTGAAAGTCTGTTTTAATTGTCCCATTGCCACAGTGCCTGTCAAAGCCAGTTCTGATTAATCTCCTTTGTCAGTGTATCCTTTGCCATTCCCTATCACTCCTCCCTGAGAGAGACTTTACCCTGATTCATAAGGAAAAGGGGATGGCGTATTCTCTTAGCTACTTCCTGCTGAAAAGGGATGCTGTGGGTTTCAGGGTGAAGATCTTCTCTCACTACTCTAAAGGGCCCCTTTGGCAGTAGGAAACACATAGACTATTATGGAGATTGATTTTGGAATTTAGATGCACTGTTATCAATTGTGCTTAGCCGTACATGTTCATATCCTTGAAGATGTATCATGGAAGTGTTGCAGCCTAGAAGACAGAAATTTAACTAACAAGTTAAAAGTACATGAGTAAAAAATAAAAATGCAATAATATTCTGAGTAGAGGTTCTACTAGTGGCACAAATCAAGTTACAGAGGAAAGGTTGTTGTTGTTGTTATGTGCCATCGAGTCGTTTGGGACTCATAGCGACCCTATGAACAACCGCCCTAAACCCTGCTCTATCCTGTGCCAATTGCACTGCCCCTGACACACTCATCCCAATTACCCCAGTCACTGAATCAATCCACCTCACTGAGGGTCTTCCCCTTCTGCGCTGTCCCTCTACCCTACCAAGCATGATGTCCCTCTCCAAGGACCTGTCTCTCCTTACAACATGTCCAAAGTATGTCAGATGAAGCCCCAGAATCCTTGCATCCAAGGAGTAGCCTGATTTAACCCTCTCCAGGATGAATGTATTTGTTTTCTTGGCAGTCCATGGAGCATTCAATACTCTTTTCCAGCACCACAGCTCAAAGGCGTCAATTCTCCTTCTATCCTCCCTAGTTATTGTCCAACTCTCTGATGCATAATAAGTGATTGCAAAGACCACGGCCTGTTTCAGGCTGACCTTAGTCTCCAGAGAGACACCTTTGCTCTTAAGTACTTTAGAGAGGTCCCTAACCTCAGACTTTCCCATCGCAATGCGTTTTTTTTATTTCTTGGCTACTGGTGCCAAGAGGCCTATTGACTAGCACTTTGTCTATTACAGTATAAAGGTTAGGAATCACAAGATGTAGAGGCTCAACTATGTCATTTACTGTTCTTAACTCCTGGTGCATATTCCATCATCTACCACTGGGTTGTTTTACAGCTCGGAAGTCCGCATGCAAGACAGAGGTGAAGTAAGGAACTGCTTATGAGGTTTTCTGTCAATTCCAACAACTAAGAAATAGGGAGAAGAGTTGAAACCTCAGAAGGCTTTTAGGACCAAATAGTAGGCTCTTGTGTCCAGGAGAAAGCGAATATACTCACCAGTAATGTTAATGCTCACTCACAGCTCTTCTGACATGCCTTCCATTGTGGCTGTGCCATTTTACACTCCTACCAACAGTGAATAAACTTGGCAATGACATATGTAATAGGGAACTTATATATAAAATTTATAGATGACTCTAACACTTCAGAAAGAAAAAAGGTCAACAATCAACAACCGATTACAAATGGGCACAGAATTTGATCAGATGCTTCTCCAAAGAAGACATTCAGATGGCAAACAAATGCATGAAGAAATGTTTAAAATCCCTAGCTATTAGAGAGATGTAAATCAAAACAACTATGAGATATTATCATAGACTTGTCAACAAGTTCATCTTTGGGAATAGGTGTCAGAGTCCATCATTCCAAGGATTTTTTTTTAACATGACAATTTACATGCTATTGTCAAGAAGTTTAAATAACTTGCTGTGCATCTGGCCTGGTGAGTAGAGTTGCACAGCCAACCCAAAGCCAGGCAGTTCAAATCCACCAGTTGCTGTGAAGGAGAATGATGTACAATTTTCTCCCATCTGATTCATAGCTCTTGAAAACTCACTGAAGGGTCATCTATGAGTTGATTTCTACTTGATTGCAATTATATATATGTGAAGTACTGTCCACCGTTTTAGTGAGTAGCCTTTTGAGCGTTTGCCAGCACATGTTGTCAGGGACTTATCCAGAGCTGAAGAGCAATGATGTCAGTCTAGAGACTAAGGTGCACCTGATCTAGGCTATGGTCTTCGCAATTACTTGCTATGCATGAGAACAGGACAGTGACTAAGGATGATGGAAGAAGAATCTATGCCTTTGAGTTGTGGTGCTGGAGAAGCGTACTGAATATACTATGGACTGCTAAGGAAACAAACAAATATGTCCTGGAGAGGGTGAAACCAAGCTGCTCCTTAGAGGCAAGAATTTTGAAGCTTTGTCTCACATAATTTGGGTGTGTTACCAGGAGGAACCATTCTTTGGGGAGAAACATCATACTTGGGAAAGTGGAGGGACAGCACAGGAGAGGAAGACCCTGAATGAGATGGAGTGACTCACTGATGGGTACTGAGAGTAGGTGTGTTGGAGACAATAAAATTGGCTTATGGTGGGGCACAGTTCAGAGCTGTTGTACATAGGGTCACTATGAGTCACAAGCAACTCAATGGCACATAACAGCAACAACAACATGCATTTAAACATTTTATTGTATAGCTAAGGATCTTTGGTCATTCAGTGGTTAAAGTGCTCTGATGTCAATGAAAAAAAAGTTGGTGGCTTGAACCTTCAACCTCTTTGAAGGGGAAAAATGAAGCACGCTGCTTCTGAAAAAAGTTCACAGCTGGGGAAATTGTACAAGACACTTCTGCTCTGTCCTGTAGGGTTGCTGTAAGCTGGAATTGGTGGGTTTGAGTTGTATTATCATGTAGTATATTCTGAAAAGGTAATTGGAATAAGCCAGCTAATTTCCACCATCACAACTGCTTTTCCTAATTATTGCTTAATTGTTTTGATTTAGATACGCATCTGGGCCCGGAAAGATGCCATCACAAATGGAAATGCCGATTTTGCCTTGAACATCACGGGTCCCATCTTCTCTTTTCTGGAAGATTTATTTAATATTAGTTATCCTCTGCCAAAAACAGGTGAGGCATAATGTAACTGGTGTCTTGTTATGGGATCCTTGGGTTGAGTTCAGAGAACAAGCTGCTGCTTGTGTCTAGTCTCCTATCTTATTACTCATACATTCAAATTAGGGCCCGTCTCTTCATTCCTTGAGCTCTAGAGGCTTAGTGGTACTGCCAACCCTAAGGCATGCTGTTCGAATCCATCAGCTGCTTCTTAAGAGAAAGATTGACAGTTTTCTCCTGGGCAGTTCACAACATCTGAAAGGAAAGTCAATTCTGGGTCGGAACCAAATAGACTTCTTTCTTTCTACATTGCCACATGCCCAGTGGGCATTAAGTGAGCTCTTGGGCTTTATATTTCTATGAATTAGTTGCAGCGTCACTTCCTGCAGCCACTGCGCTCTCTCTCTTCCTTCTGCTCTTTCCTCTCAAAATACAAATGTTCTGGTTCACCTTAACAGACCTGTGTGAGTTACTCTGGTTCCCATTAAAAAAAAATATCCAGTAGCTATGAGTTATTGAATTAGGCCTTGATGGTGCCATCTGTGATTTTTCATTGTATAAAATGGAATCATTTGTGAATATAATATAATTCTTGAGGAAATGCATTAAGTATTTGTCTCATAGGTCTACAGAATATATTAGTAAAATTGCATTAAGGCACTGCTTTGAAAGTTGTCCAGGTTTGTTTGTGTTTTGTGTTTTCTTTTCTCATGCAAATGTATTTTGTTTCTTTAACAAATTTGCTGAAGACTTTGGGAAACTCTATCTTGACAGAAAATGAATGAAGGGGGCAGGAATAAGAATTTGGGATCTCAGATTCCATGTGAAAGAGGCAACCCTGCAATTCTAATGCCCTGGTTAAGGAGGAATGCGGACAGGCTAGAGCCCACTCAGGGGTCCTAGAGGGGAGTGCTGTCATTTTAGGGAGCTGGAAGCAGCAGGAGCCCAGCCTTGCAGGCAAAGCTCCTGGAACTTGTGAGGCCGGAGCATTTAAAAATTACACTTTTCTGGGGGGAAAAAAGAGTTTATTTTGTGTTTATTGAAAGAGAAATTCAGGATTCTCCTCAATACCTGACTCCCTTGAAACACACTCTCTATTGCCTCTTTACTTCCTCTGTTCCTCACTATCCTCTAGTCCACCTTGGTTTATGTCACCAGCGTCCCTGCCATAACACCTCTCACTTAAGCTTCTCCATAGTGAGCCAGAATAATTTTTCCAGAGGAGAAAATTATTATTTTAGTTTAAGACTTTTCTATGGCTTTCGATTACCATAAGGGTAAAGTTGAAGTTCATGTTTCAGGATTTTTGGTGCTTTCTCAGTGTGTGGAGTGTTTTCTGGCACTATCCCTGTTGTCTCTAACACCTTCATCTTTTTCTCTCTTCCTTTGACCCTAACATACAAAATTTGAATGTTGAGGAATGCCTTCTACCCTTCTTCTTCCCTGGTTAACTCCTGTATTTCTCAACTCCCAGCCCCTCATCTTTTGTGACTTCTTCTCTCACTCTTCCTTACAATCCCATAAACCCCACCACTGGAACCCTTGACACACTATGTTCTGACTTGGGATCAGAATTTAATTAACCTTTTCTTTATACACCCGTGCACTTGTGTCATAATGGTAAACAATAATGTGGTTTTGGTGGGAGAAAGAAATATGTAAAAATAATTCCGTAATTCTACTTAAATTATGACTAGATTATTCACTGTTAGAGGTCAGTCTTATATTTAACATCTCACCGAATATTACACTATGTTGTTGTTATGTACTGTTGCGTCACCTGTGACCTATAGCGATCCTATGTACAGCAGTTCTGAACCCTGCCCTGTCCTAAGCTAGGCTCACTGATTGACACACCAACCCCCATTGCCCCAGTACTTTATCAATCAATCTCTTCCAGGGTCTTCCTCTCCTGCACTGTCCCTCCATCCTTCCAAGCATGATTTTTTTTTTCTTCAAGGACTGGTCTCTCTTGGCAATGTGCCCAAAGTATGTGAGATAGAGTTTCAAAATCCTAGCCTCCAAGGAGATATTTGGTTTCACCCTCTCCAAGACAGACTTATTCGTTTTCTTGATAGTCCATGGTATGTTCAAGACTCTTGTCCAACACCACAATTTGAAGGTATGTTTTTTTCTTCTGTCATCCTTAGTCATTATCCAGCTCTCTGATGCATAGCAAGTAATTGCAAAGACCACGACCTGGATTAGGCGCACCTTAGTCTCTTGACTGACATCATTGCTTTTCAGTACTCTGGACAGGCCTCTGGCAGCAGATTTTCCCCAATACAATTTTGATTTCCTGACTTCTGGGGCTGAGAGTGTTGATTGTGGTCCTGAGCAAGCTCTAATTGTTAACAACCTCAATCACTTCTCCATCTGTCATCGTGCTGCCAATTGGTCCAGCGGTGAGAATCTTTGTTTTCTTGATGTTGAGCTTCAATCCATATTGAAAACTACAGTCCATGATCTTCTGCAGTAAGCGCTTCAGGTCATATTCAGTTTTAGCAAGCAATGTTATGTCATCTATATAACATAGGTTGTTGATGAGTGTTCCTCCAATTCTGATGCCACACTCTTCCTCATAAAGCTCTGCTTCCCAAATGATCTGTTCTGCATATAGGTTGAAAAGGTATGGAGACAGGATGCATTCCTGATGTACTCCTTTCCTGATTTTGAACCATGCAGTGTTTCCCTACTCTGTTATGAGGACTGCTTCCTGGTCCAAATATAGATTTTGCATAAGCACAATCAACTGTTTAGTGATTCCCGTTTTCCACAAGGTTAGCCATAATTTTTTGTGATCCACAAGGTCAAATGCCTTTGCATAGTCAATGAAACACAGATAGACTTTCTTCTGGTACTCTTTGCTTTCTGCCAAGCCCTATCTGACATTGGAAATAATGTCTCTTAGTGTCACGGCCTCTTCTGAACTTAGCTTGTATTTCTGGTAGTTTTCTGTCAAAGTTTCAGTAGTTTCTGGATCATCTTCAGCAAGATTTTTCTAGTATGTGATATTAATGATATTCAATAATTTCTACACTCTGTTGGGTCACCTGTTTTTGGAATGGGAATAATTATGGATCTCTTCCAGTCAGTTGACCAAGTAGCTGTCCTTCAGATTTTTTGGCACAACTTAGTGAGCACATCCTGTGAAGCATCTGTTTGTTGAAGTACGTCATTTGGTGTTCCATCACTTCTTTGGGTTTTATTTTTTGCCAAGTCTTTCAGGGGAGCCTGAACTTCCTCTTCATCACCATTGCCTCTTGACTATATTGTTTCTTGAAATTCTTCTATGTCGGCCAATTCTATTTGGTACAATGACCCTGTATAATCCTTCACTCTTCCTGGATCACTTAATATTCTGCCCATAGCACCCTTAAGCATTGCAACTTGCAGCTTGAATTTGTTGTTTAGTTCCTTCAGCTTAAGGAAACACATAGCTGGTATTAAATGGAACCCTGGTGGCCTAGTGTGTTAAGGAGATGCACTGCCAATCCAAAGGCAGGCATTCCAAATCCACCAGCAGTCCTGAGAAGAAAGACGAACACTCTCTTCTCATGTGAGTTGGTGCCTCTGAAAATCTGCTAGCAGGTGAGTTATGAGTCAGTTCCAACTCAAAAGCACATGACAACAACAACAACAGATGCTCAATAAAAAAATATGTTTTGAATTGTAGTTAAAATAAGTGGTTTTTCTGTTCCTAGATTTTAAGGACAGAGATAAACTAATACTTCTTAATTACTTTAACTTTTGTTTGAATTGCTGGATAAAGAGAAAAGAACAAAGTAAAATGGAAAAGAAAACCCAAACTACAACCCAACCCTTATAATGAGCATTCCTCAAAAAACTCATACTTTCACTGAGTGAATAGTTTATTTGTTCTGTATTGATATTTTAGTTTATCTTCCTAGAATTTAGTTTAAACCTTAGAACCTAAGATAATATAAATTATGTCCATGAATCTCATGGGGTAACAATTTTTCTAATGTTGTTATTTTAATTCAAACTGTTGAAAAAGTAGATTAAGTATGAAAATATTGTAGAGACTGAGAGAGTTAATTATTTGAGTCATTAGTAAAATTTTAAAAGAAAAAATTCTTATGATGTTTTTATGAATAAACACAGACCTTAGGTTTGCAAATATAGCTTCTCTTGTAAATTATGATCATGTTTTTAGCTTAAGACAGTAGTAGACTAACTTGTAGTATTTATCTTAACACATATTGCCTTTTTGTGGCAAGTCATGATATTATATAAGACACAAATAAGAAAGCAGTGACATAATGACCACAGTCATTGAGAATTTCTTGAGCACATGGCGGGTACCTGCTACATTGCTATGGAAACTCTGGTGGTATAGTGCATAGCATCACACTGGATTGCTTTGTCTCACTTTGGTTATGTTATTTGGTGGGATCAGTCCTTGGAGAAGGACATCATACTTGGAAAGGTGGAGGGTCAGTCAAATAGAGAAAGACCCTCAGTGATATGGATTGACCCAGTTACTGCAGCAATGAGCACAGTGGACATTGTGAGGATGACCCTGGATAAAGCTGGGTTTCAATCTGATGTATGTAAGAACTCTATGAATTGGAGTGGACCCCTGATGACGTGTAATATCATCAACAACAACAACAACAGGGACTGTGTGAATGCAAAAGAAGTAAGTGGCTGGGCCTGTTCATGTAACTGAGTTAAGGAAGTAATTTCTTACTGTTAGGTGCTCTCAGGTCAGCTCTGACTCATGTACAACAAAATGAAACACCCCCTGGGCCTGCATATGCTCATAGTTGCTGCTATGTCTGAGCCCATTGTGTATGTATCAAAGCATTTTGCTGAAGGTCTTTCTCTTTTTCCGGATTGTTTTCATAGATGTTTGTATTATTATTTTAAAATGTTGTTGATTGCTGTAAAGTTGAGCACGACTCATAGTGACTCTGTGAACAAAAGACCTGAAGCCTTTCTATAACTATCCTCATTTCTCAAAGTTCATAGAGTTTCCAGAGGCATGTTGTTTAGGAGTAGATAATAATCATTAAAATTAAATAGGCCAGAGTCATGTGTAAACCAATACTGATAGTTTGTCAAGAAACAATTTTGTTTAGGCCAATTTTATTAAAAAAATAAAAATACATAAATAAAATAATCCTCAGTATTAGTGAGAAATGGTTCCTTCAAATTGATGAGGTTTGATGGCACAGTGGTTAAAGGTAAGAGCTGCTAACCGGAAGGTTCAGTAGTATGAGCCCACCAACTGTTCCATGGGAAAAAGATGTAGCATTTTTCTTCTACACAGACTTACAGCTTTAAAAACCATGTCGGGCAGTCTGCTCCACCCTATTCGGTCACTATGAATCCAAATCGACTCAACAGCTTGAGTTTGCTTTTGTTTTTTACGGTGGCATTTACAAACTGAGTAGAGGGATTTCTGGAATAGTAAAGAGAATGAACAGAGAAAGATTCAGTGATTTCAGAGAGCAGAAGGGAGCGGTTTGAGCAGAGAAGAGCTGTCTTGTGTGAGGGGAGGGAAGTTAGATAAATGGGAAATCTAGGCCAAGTGCAGTAACTATATGCAAGATTATAGGGTGTAAATAGAAGAGTCTTAATAATGAACTGGATACACTTTACTAAAGTCAACTTATTTAACATCTCTCCTTATCCAAACCAAACCTACTGATGCTGAGTCAATTCCAATTCCTGGTAATCCTCTACCAGGTTGCCAAGGCTGTGAATGTTAAACCATTTTTTTCTGCTGTGGAGGAACCAGTGGGTTTCGACATCTAACTATTCGGTTATCAGACTAACACTTAAGTACAATACCAGAAATCCTTAAAATAACAGACTATAGAGCACTTATTGTGGTTATATGCCATCAAGTCGCCTGCGACTCATAGCGACCCTATGTACAATAGCTATAAATCCTGCCCAATCCTGAGCCATTGTCTCTGACACACCTATTCCCATTGCCTCAGTTTCTGTGTCAATCAGTCTCATCTCTCCTGTGCAGTCCCTCCACCCTTCTGAGCATGATGTCCTTCTCAGAGGACTGGTCCGTCCAGGCTATGTGCTCAAAGTATGTCAGACAGAGCTTCAAAATCCTAGCCTCCAAAGAGCAGAACACTTATTAGACAAAAGTAATATGAATATATAAAATTATTCTATGTTAGAAAAAGAAAAGAAACATTTGTTATTTTTAAGTTATAAAAGTAATAAATGATCACACAGCAAGAAATTCAAAAAAATAAAAAGAGAGGGAGAGAAAGCAAGGGCGAGGGGTGGGGAAATTTTTTTCTAATCATACCAAGAGAGAGTTTCTGCTAACATTTTAGTGTGTATTTTTCCCCAGTATCTAACTTCAGCCTGATTTCTGGCTCTGTTATTGTTTCTTTATTTTAATAAAGAGGACATCACAGAGTTGGCATTGTTTTCCAATGTTAAGTTTTTAAATTATTATAGTAGTTTATTTACAAAATTCCAGTACATTGTTTTCCAGAACAGATTCTTACAATTTCCTTCACCCGTCCACCCATCAAATTGTACAACCCCATGATTAATTCCCCCTCCTCCTGCACATCCTCATCCGTCTACTTCCACCCCCTTCTTGTATCCTTATCCTCCTTCTACAATAATGGTTTTTTTAAAGTATCAATGTATAGTGGTGTGATCTAGATTGCTAAATATGCTTTTTTATATTGTTATTTTAAGGACATTAGATGTCTATGTACCAATATGCTAAGATAACTTATTTAATACTATATGCTAAACTTGGTGTCACTCTTGTGCATTAGTTTAAAAACACTAAACAAAATTCTTGTAAGGATGTATTATGTAATATCTCTATGTGTTAGTATAAATTCCAAAAGAAGAGTATCTTAGTCAAAAGGGTTGAATATTTGTAATATTTCAAAATATTTTATACTCTCACCAGTATGTTCTGTGCCAGTTTTCCCCTAGCTACACCAATATTAATTATTAATCTTCTATAAATCTGAAACTTATGACACTTTTGAGTTGGATTTGTTCCCACCTGAATGCTCTCTTTCTAAATTGTTCACACTTTGCTCTTTGATTTGTTAGAATTCCTTCAATATTTAAAAACCTGCTAGTTGTTTATAATTTATATTGTAAATATTTTTCTAAACTGTGATCTTTCAAATTTTTTATTGTGTCTCTTTGGTCAAGCAAGCTATTTCATTTTTATGTGACAAAACTATTTTCTATCTTTAGTATTAATCTCTTAATAAAGCTTTATCTCCCCTCGTATTGTAACTATTTACTTACATTTTATTTCAGTAATTTTATTATTTCATTTTATAATATTTACAAATGTTGTTGTTGTTGATTGCCTTCAAGTCGAGCATGACTCATAGCGACCTTGTGAACAAACGGCCTGAAGCCTTTCTATAACTATCATTGTTTCTCCAGGTTCATAGAGTTTCCAGAGGCATGTGGTTTAGGAAGTGGATGCCACTCCTTAAATTTTCTTGGAAGAGATATTTTTTCACTTTGCCCTCTGTTTAAATTAATTTAGATATAATTGCCTTGCCCGTTTTTGACAATCGTGCAATGGAGAATTGGGGATTACTGATGTTTGATGAGACATCATTATTGCTGCAACCAAGTGATCAACTGACCGAAAAGAAAACCCAGATCTACTACACTGTCTCCCATGAGATTGGACATCAGGCATGTGGTAAAATATTCTTTTTTATTTTACATAAAGACATTCTTCAGCCAGTCTACTAAAATCCCCACATCTAAAGCCAAGGAAAAAAACTTGTATTTCAAAAGTTTACATACTTTTGTATGTATTAAAATCTACGGGTGACTCTGAAGGAGAGAGATGGGCAGTCTCTGCCTTAAGGGTAAACTATGTGCTGGTTCTGACTTGATGGATATGAGAGATGTATTTAGATTTGGGAAACATGACAGTAATTGCAAACAATATCATCAGATTTTGGATAGATATGAGCTATTTGTTTTGGATCATAAAAATGTGGCCAGTAGTCAAAGATTTGTTATTTACATGCAAAATCAATCTTTGCTTCACAGAATCAGCTTCATAAACAGTAAGCACAGTACAGCTATGATTATTTATTTTTCATTCTGTCTTATAATAATCAAACCCAAAAACCTACTGCCATTGAATCAATTCTACCTAATGGAGACCCTGTATTGGATATTTGAAATAGTTAATCTTCACAGGAGATTGCCCATCTTTCTTCAGAGGAACAGCTGGTGGATTTGAACCTAACATTTTGGCTAGCAACCTGCTAAGTTATGTACTATGCCAACAGGGATTGTTGTCTTAAAATAAGTACTACTCAAAATAGTTACTGAATGATACATCATTTCATTGGTACATTATTATTAATTAATATTTTGGGTTTTTTTCTGGAGAGGGATTAAAAGGATGAGCATAATGTATTGGCAAGTGTCAGTGACATGACTAGTAATTAATTCTTAAACTGTCCTCAATCAGCACAAACAAGGATTTGTGATTCACCTCACTGTTGTTATTGTGTTGTTACAAGCCATCAAGTTGCCTGTGACTCATAGTTGTTGCTGTGTTGATTGCCTTCAAGTCGAGCACAACTCATAGTGACCCTATGATCAATGTGGCATCGGGATTAGAGGAAGACTCATCAACAGTCTGTAATGCAGATGACACAACCTTGCTTGTTGAAACTGAGGAGGACCTCAGTCGCTTGCTGCAGAAAGTCAAGGACTGCAGCCTTAAGTATGGATTGAAGTTCAATATCAGGAAGATAAAGATTCTAATCATTGGGTTAATTGGCAGCATCATTATAGATGGTGAAGAGATTGAGGTTGTTAACAGCTTCAGTTTGCTTGGCTTCACAATCAACATCTTTGTACCAGCAGCCAGAAAATTAAAAGATGAATTGCATTGGGAATGTCTGCTGTTAGGAATTTCTCCAGAGTACTGAAGGACAGTGATGCCAATCTGGAGACTAAGGTGTGTCCAATCCAGGCCATAGTCTTTGCAATTACTTGCTAGGTGTCAGAAAACTGGACAGTGACTACGGATAATAGAAAGAGAATTGATGCCTTTGAACTGTGGTGCTAGAGAAGAGTGTTGGAAATACTATGGACTGCTAGAAAAAAAAAGGTTCGTCTTCAGAGAGGGTGAAACCGATCTGCTCCTTGGAGGCAAGGATTCTGAAGCTTTGTCTGACGTACTTTGGGCATGTTGCAAGAAAGGACCAGTCCTTGGAAAGGGACATTATGCTTGGGAGGGTGAAGGGACAGCGCAAGAGAGGGAGCCCTTCGATGAGATGGATTGATTCAGTCTCTGGGTTGTTAGGGTAAATGGTCAGAGACAATATAGGTTGACACAGATAGAGCAGAGTTTAGGGCTGTTTTACACAGGGTCGCTATGAATCACAAGTGACTCCATAGCACATATCAACAACAACAAGGTCAAATCTCGTTATTTGTTTTAATTTTTTATTTTATTTAATTTTTTTACAAAATTTGGATACATTGTTTTTCACAAAAGATCCTTCCCATTTCCTTCACCCCACTCACCCATCTAACTGCGCAAGCCTAAAATTAACACTCCCTCCATCCTCTCCCCTCTATTCCCATCCACCCCTTGGATCCTCATATGCGTTCTACAATGATTTTATACAGTGTTTGTCCTTGTGAGACTGAGCTCACTCAGCTTAATGCTCTTCAGTCCCTTCCAAGTTAGATAGTATTGTACAAAATGATTGCTCCATAGTATTCCATTGTATGAATGTACCACAACTTCTCAATCCATTTGTTTGTGGTTGGACATCTGGGCTGTTTCAGTGTTCTTGTGATGGGGAGCAATGCTGCTTTGAACACTGGTGTACAAGTTTTCATTTGAGCCTCAGTTCTCATTTTCTTGGGGTATATTCTAAGCAATGGAATAGCTGGGCCATATGGAATTTCTATAATCAGCTTTTTGAGGAAATGCCAAATTGCCTTCCAGAGTGGTTGTACCATTGTACAATCCCACCAACAATGTAAAAGAATTTGTATATCACCACATCTTCTCCAACATTTATTACTTACTGTCCTATTAAACCTTGCCACTGTTACTGGAGTAAGATGGTATCTCATTGTGGTTTTAATTTGCATCTCACTTATTGCCAGTGATTTGGAGCATTTCTTCATGTGTCTGTTGGCCATTTGAATATCTTCCTCTGTAAAAATTATTTCCATGTCTTTTGCCCAAATGATAATTGGCTTATCAGTCTTTTTCTTGCGGAGGAGTATTCTATAAACTTTCATTATGAGACTCTTGTCTGAGATGGTATTGCCAAATGTTTTTTCCCAGTTAGCAGGTTTTTTTCACTCTGTTGGAAAAAGTTTTTTATGAAGATAGGTATTTTATCTTTAGAAGATACCATCCTTTTATCAATTTTATCCTCTTTAGATTGTACATTTCTTTCTGTATTTGGCAATCTCTTTATACCGTAGACTAGGCCTTCTAAGTTTGATCCCAGTTTGTCTCTTATGTATGAACTTTATGGTTTGGGGCTTACTCCCAAGTCTCTTATCCACCTTGAGGTGATTTTTGTGTATTGTCTGAGATGTGAATTCTGTTTCAGCTTTCTGCAGGTAGCAGTTCAGTTTTGCCAGCACCATTTGTTGAAGAGGTTGTCATTTTCCCATTTGATAGGTTTTATTTCTTGGAACAGCACATCAGCAGAGAACTGCCAGAAGTCCAGGCTGGGTTTAGAAGGGGTTGTGGTACTAGGGATATTGTAGCTGATGTTAGATGGAACATAGCTGAAAACAGGAAATACCAGAAGAATGTCTATCTGTGTTTCATTGGTGTTTGACTGTGTGGATCATAATAACTGTGGCTGACTCTGAGAAGAATGGGAATCCCAGAACCCTTGATAGTTCTAATGAGAAACTTATACTTGGACCAAGATGCACTCGTCAGAACAGAGCAAGGAAATGCTGCAAAAATTGGGAAGGGTGTACGCCAGGGATGTGTCCTATCTCCATACCTTTTCAACCTATATGCAGAACAGATTATCCAACAGGCTGGGCTCTATGAGGAGAAGTGTGGCATCAGGATTGGTGGAAGATCTATTAACAATCTGTGTTATGCAGATGACACAACCGTGCTTTCTGAAACTGAGGAGGACCTCATGCACTTGCTGTAGAGGGTCAAGGACTGCAGCCTTCAGTGTGTTTTGAGGCTCAATGTCAAGAAGACAAAGATTCTCACCACTGGACCAATTGGCAGCATCAGGATGGATGGTGAAGAGATTGAGACTGTTAACAACGTTAGTCTTCTTGGCTCCACAGTCAACACTCTTGGCACCAGCAGCCAGGAAATGAAAAAAATGTATTGCGATGGGAAAGTCTGCTCTTAGGGACCTCTCTAAAGTACTGAAGAGCAACGGTGTCTCTCTGGAGACTAAGGTGAGCCTGATACAGGCCATGGTCTTTGCAATCACTTGTTATGCATCAGAGAATTGGACAATGACTAAGGAGGATAGAAAGAGAATTGATGCCTTTGAGTTGTGGTGCTGGAGAAGAGTATTGAATGGACTGCCAAGAAAACAAACAGATTCATCCTGAAGAGGGTTAGACCAGGATGCTCCTTGGAGGCAAGGATTCTGAGGCTTCGTCTGACATACTTTGGACATGTTGTAAGGAGGGAGAGGTCCTTGGAGAGGGACATCATGCTTGGGAGGGTGGAGGGACAGTGACTGGGGTAATCGAGATGGGTGTGTCAGAGGCAGTGCATTTGGCACAGGATAGAGCAGGGTTTAGGGCTGTTGTACATAGGGTTGCTATGAGTCGCAAGTGACTCGATGGCACATAACAACAACTACAACAACAGTATCAGTTGATCATTGATAGCTGGGTCTATATCTATCTGGGTTCACAATTCTGTTCCAGTAATCTATCTGCCTGTCATTGTACCAGCAGCATACGTTTTTTTGTTGCTACCACTGTGTAGTAGGTTTTGAGGTCAGGGAATACTGTACCTCCTACTTCATTTTTGTTTCTCAGAAGTGTTTTTCTTATTTGGGTTCCCTTCCCTCTCCAAATAAACTTGATGATTTCCCTTTCAACTTCCTTGGAAAATGAATTTTGTATCTGGATTGGGATTCAGTTGAACATGGAGATTGATTTTGGTAGGATTGTCATTTTCACAATATTGAGTCTTCCTATCCATGAGCAGTGCATGTTTTTCCATTTCTTTAGGTCTTTTATTGTTTATTGCAGAACTGTTACGTAGTTTTCTTTGTATAGGTCTTTTGTATCTCTATTTAGGTTCATTCCTAAGTATCTCAATTTGTGGTTGGCTATTGTAAATGGTATTGCTTTCTTTTGCTTCCTTCTCTGAGTTCTCTTTGTTATTGTAGAGGAATCTCTCTGATTTTTGGATATTGATCTTATATCCTGCCACTCTACTAAATTAGCCTACTAGCTCTAACAGTTTTTTTGGTTTAGTCTTTGGGGTTTTCTATGTACACTATCATATCATCCACATATAGCTATATTTTAACAATATTTTTGCAGATCTGGATGCCTTTTTATTTCCTTCTTTTGATTTATTGCTCTAGCAAGCATTTCTAGTACAATATTGAATATAAGTGATGACAGTGGACATCCTTGTCTGGTCCCTGTTCGTAAGGAAAATGCTTTTAGTCTTTTTTCCATTGAGACTGATATTGGCTCTTGGCTTTACATATATACTTTTCACTATGTTGAGGAAATTCCCTTCTACTCCAATTTTGCTGAGTACCTTAATCAGGAAGGGGTCTTGGATTTTTCTACATCACTTGCTAAGATCATATGGATCTTATTATTTATTTTGATTTAGTATGGTGAGTTACATTGATTGTTTTTCTTACATTGAACTATCCTTGCTTGCCTGTTATGAATCCCACTTGGTAGTGGTGAATTATCTTTTTTATGTGTTTTGGGATTCTATTGGCTAGGGTTTTGTTAAGGAATTTTTCATCAATATTCATGAGAGATATTGGTCTATAGTTTTCTTTCTTGGTAATATCTTTGCATGGTTTTGGTATTAGGGTTATCCTGGCATCATAGAATGACTCTGGGAGTACTCTTTCTATTTCAATATTTTGAAATAGTTTAAGTAGAATTGGTGATACATCCTCTCTGAATGTTTGGTAGAATTCAGCTGTGAAGCAATCTGGTCCAGGAATTTTCTTATGGGGTAGTCTTTTTATGACCTTTTCAATTTCTTCTTTTGTGATGGGTCTATTCAACTGTTCTATGAACCACTTAGAACAAAATCTTGGTGTAGCTGATATAAAGGATGTTGTGGTTGTTAAGTGCCATTGAGTGCAGGCAACTCATAGTGACCTATGAAGGAAGGTGCTAAAATTAGTAAATGTTAAATCAGCATTCAGGACTTGTAGCTTTTTGGGTAAGGAGTTGTGCTGTCAATCCAAAGGTAGGCACTTCAAATCTACCAGCTTCAGTTCAAGAGAAAGATGAACAGTCTCTTTCTGTGTGATTTATAGGCCCCAAAACCTGAGAGAAGGTCAGTTATGAGTTGGTTCTGACTTGATTGCAATGAGAACTGTTGAGTCTTTGGGAAAAATGAATAGTTTAAGAAAGGCTATTCTACCTAGCTTTATTTTTTTAACACTATAGGGTAAAAAGAAAAGAATGCTTTCCATCGTTGGATGTAAGAATAATACATGACTGATATCTCTTCTTGTTAAAGTAATAATAATGTGACTGGTAGAATATTTTTCAAGTTTTATTATTAATAAATAAATTTTAAGTCTGTCATTTGACTTTGTACTTTTTTTAACATGTAACTATGATAAACATTGCTTCAATTATATTTTGAAAATTCCCTTTTCTCTCATCTCCAAAAGTGGTTTGGAAACTTGGTTACCATGAATTGGTGGAACAATATCTGGCTCAATGAGGGTTTCGCATCTTACTTTGAGTTTGGAGTAATTAACTACATCAATCCTAGACTCCCAAAAGTAAGTATTTTTTTGTGAAATTTATTTGACATTTTCTTCCTGATTATAAAAGTAATGTGTACTTACAGTTGAAGATGTATTAAAATACAATGAATATTAAAGACTATAATACCAGAGATAATCAGTATCATTTTTAGCTTTTTTTTTATCTCAAGCCTACTTGTTGTAGGCTTGTATTTACCTACTGTAAATATTAATAAAAATGACAACAGAATAGAAATTTGCGATGCCTTTTCTGCTTCATATTATATTATGAACAATTCTGCAAACATTAAATCCTTTTTAAAAGCAGTGGCAACAATCTGCACTGCAATCCCTAAGGCACACAGTTCGAGGTCACCAGCTGCTCCATGGAAGACGGATGGACAATCTCCTCCTGTGTGATTATATAAACAGCCCTGAAAACACACACCAGAGGGTCAACTGTAGGTCAGTTCTGACTCTACAGTAAATAACAACAATATTTTATTAAGGATGCTCTTGTAACATAGTCTGTAGTGAGTTACACTGTTAACCCAAAGCTTGCGCATCTCTGTTGATTCAAGTCCACCAGCTGCTCTAGAGGGAAAGGATGGGAATTCTTTTGCTATTAAGATTTACAGCCTCACAAGCGCAATGAAGGATTAATATGAGTTGAAACCAACTCAAGAACAGTGAATGATAGGATACTATTCACTTGCATACAAGGAAGTCTTGTCACTACTAGTATTATTTAAATACACACACTAATTAAGAAAGCTGGAGACAGGAAAATTGAGAATTTCTACCAATTTATTAATTGGTGACTGCAATGAAAAAGTTGGAACCAAATGAAAAAGGAACGACAGTTGGAAAATATGGCGTTGGTGCTGGAAATTAGGCTTTAAATTGCATGATAGAATTTTGTACAATGAATGATTTATTCATTGCAAATGCTTTCTTATGCTAGACTTATGTGAGCAGATTACTGTGGAGTCATTGGGTGGAGTCTTTTGGTGCCCAGTAGAGTTTCCCTTGGCTTTTTATGTGATTAGTTAAGAAAACACATTTGGCTCTCTCTCATTGGTCTTAGGTAAAAAACAGAAACAAAACATAGGGATGCTGGGAAGAATTAAATAAATTTTAGCAATTGCACTGATTGTTACACAGTTTTCAGTTTAACATTCTTGGTTGAAGTTCTAGTTTGTATGTAGATTAGCCATTGTCCCAATGACTCAAGTATACATTTCTTACGTTAGCATATCTTAAAGTAAAAAAAAAAAAAAGAAAAGAAAAGAAAAAAATAAAGCATAAAAAACCAAAAGAAAGCAAAACAAAAACCCCACAAAACAATGCTACATATGGACTTCACCTGATAGGTTAAGAGACAGAGAAGAAGTTCAGTATCAGTAGTCAAAACCAGGGTAGGGGCTTACTGTGGAATGGATCATTAACTATATACAAATTCAAACAGAAGTTGAAGAAAATGAAAAATTACCCACAGGAACCAAATATGATCTTAAGTGGATCCTAAACGAATATTAAGATCATGTTAGGAACAGATTTGAAGCACTGAACATTAATGACCAAAGACTAGTTGAATTGTGGAATAACATCAAGGACATTCTCCATGAAGAAAGCAAAAGGTCAAGAAAAAGATAAAAGAAGAAAATACAAAAACAGATGTCAGAAACAGACTCTGAAATATGCAATAGAATAAAACCAGGGGAAGAAATGCCAAAGTAATGGATATAAATAGAAAATTTCAAAGGGAAGCTCCAGAAGACAAAGGAAATTATAGTGAAATGGGCAAAGAGCTGAGTTAGAAAACAACAAGGGAAGAACATACTTCATATTTCTCAAGCTGAAAGGATGGAAAAACAAATTCAATTCTAGAGTTGCAACACTAAAGGTAGGCAAAATCTTGAACTATGTAGGAAACATTTTCAAAAGAAAATGGAAGAAATACAGTCTCTGTACCAAAAAGAATTAATTGACACAGAACCATTTCAGGAAATATCATATGATCCAAGAACCATTAATACTAGAATAAAGATGTCCACGCTACACTGAAGGTATTGGCAAAAAGGTTCCAGCAATTGGTGAAATACCAACTGAGACAATTCAGGAAACAGAGGAAACCCTGAACATGTTCCCCAGTCTCTGCCAGCAAATCTGGGAGACCTAGCCAATTGACTGGAAGAGATAGTTATTTGTTCCTATTCCCATAAAAGGTGATCTAAGAGGATGTGGAAATCATTGAACAATACCAAGTAAAAGCTTACTGAGGATTATTTAAAAATGTCTGGAACAACACATCAATAGGAAACTTTCAGAAATCTGAACTAGATTCAGAAGATGCATGGGTGATGTCAGGTAGATCTTGACTGGAAGCAAATCATACCAGAAGGATGCTGATTTGTGCTTTATTGACTATAAAAAGGAATTTCACTATGTAGATCATAACAAACTATAACTAACATTGAAAAGAATGGGAATCCTAGAACGCTTGACTGTGCTCATGTGAAATCTATACCTAGACCAGGAGTCTGTTGTCTGAATAGACAAGGAAGCAGTATACATAGTTTAAAATTAGGAAAACTGAGTCAGAGCTGTGTCCTTTCTCCATGCTTATTAAAACTTTATGCCAAATAAATCATCATACAGATCTGTCAGAGCTTGCTCTGCAATTTTACTACCATTGTAAGTTGTTGTTGTTGTGTGTTGTCAAGTCGGAACTGACCCATAGCTGGCTCATCAATGATTTTCGGAGGTGGTAAATCACACAGGAGGATCTGTCTCCTGTGGAGCCGCTGGTGGATTTGAACCTTGTACCCTTGGGATTGCAGTGCTGCTTACTAGACTACTAGAGTTTGGGGCGGGGGGCGGTAAGTATCTAGTCATGTATATATTGATTAGATAAAATGAGTCTTCATTTTTATAATTTACTTTCTTATGTGATATCTCAAACAATAAGGCCTATTTCTATAAAAATCTATTTCCTTAGGACTATAACACTATTGTAGTTTATTTATATAGAATGTTACAATTGGATTGTTTCTCTTGTTGCTGCCACCAAGTCAGAACTTATCCGTAGTTGATCCTCCAGAGGGTTTTCAGGGACAGAAAATGGAAGGAGATTGCCTCTCTTTTTCCTAAAGAACAGCTGAAGAATTCAAACTACATGTCTTTGGGTTGGCAGTACGACTCCTTACCACCAGGCTACCAGAGCTCCCTAACTAATTATCTCTAGTTAATGCAAATGGTTTGCATTCAACTTCTAATTTAAAGATCTGAATCTATGCAATCTTTAAGCTTATTTTAAAAACTACTGGAACAGTACATTGACAGAGAATTTCCAGAAATTAAAATTGGATTCAGAAGAGGCCATGGAAGACAAGATATCATTGGTGATGAGGTGGCTCTTGGCTGAAAGCAGCACATACCAAAATGATGTTTGCTTATGTTTCATTGATTATGCAAAGACTTTTGACTGTGTGGATCATATAAATTATGGCCAACATTGAGAAAAAATGAGAGCTCTAGGACACTTCATGAGCTGATGCAAAAGCTGGACAAGAAACAGAATAAGAGAATACTATGTGGTTCAAAATGAAGAAAGGTGTGCATCAGGATTGTACCCTTTCACCATTCAGTCTGTATGCAAATAATTGAAGAATTTGGACTATAGTTGACATCAGAATTAGAGAAAGACTCCTCAATTATCTACACTATGCGGATGACACAATCTTGTTTGCAGAAAGTGGGGAAAACTTAAAACACTTACTGCAGAAGATCTAATACTAGAACCTTCATTATGAATTATACCTCAGTATCAAGAAAACAGAAATCCCACAACTGGACCAATAGGCAACATCTTGATAGATGGATAAAATATTGAAATTGTCAATAATTTAATTTTACATATATTAGCAAGCAACATACCCAGTGACAGCAGTCAAGAAATCAAAAGAAGTATTGTATTGGGCAAATCTGCTGCTAAGAACATCTTAAGAAGTGTTAAAGAGCAAGGATTTAAGTTTTTTTTTTATTTCCTCTCCCATTTTATTTTATTAATTTTAATGAACATTTACAGAGATTTTGGATTTCTATTCGTTCATTGTTGCACTATTTTCTCTACCCCACCCCCCACAGTTTATTCCTCTCTCATTTTCCCCCTTGAAAGTCTGTTTTAATTGTCCCATTGCCACAGTGCTTGTCAAAACCAGTTCTGATTAATCTCCTTTCTCAATGTGTCCTTTGCCCTTCCCTCTCACTCCTCCCTGAGTGAGACTTCACCCTGAGTCATAAGGAAAACGGGATGGCGTATTCTCTTAGCTACTTCCTGCTGTAGGTTTCAGGGTGAAGATCTCTCACTACTCTAAAGGGCCCCTTTGGCAATAGGAAACATGTAGACTATTGTGGAGATTGATTTTGGAATTTAGATGCACCGTTATCAGTTGTGCTTAGCTGTACATGTTCATATCCTTGAAGATGCATCATAGAACTGTTGTAGCCTAGAAGACACAAATTTAACTAACAAGTTGAAAGTACGTGAGTCAAAAATTAAAAGCAATAATATTCCAAGTAGAGGTTCTAATAGTGGCACAAATAAAGTTACAGAGGGAAGGTAGTTCTTTGAGGTGGATTGATTCAGTGACTGGGGTAATCAGGCTGGGTGTGTCAGAGGCAGTGCAATTGGCACAGGATAGAGCAGGGTTTAGGGCTGTTGTACATAGGGTTGCTATGAGTCACAAACGACTCGACGGCACATATCACCAACAACAACAATGATGAACTATGGATAATGAACTGGATAATGCTTAATTTTGTTGTACAGAGGGTGGCTGCAAGTTGGAACCCACTCAATCACACCTAACAACAACCACCACCTATATAACACTTTTGGACAATAAGGACAAATGCTAAAAAATAGGAATGTTAAACTAATAAAATTCTAATAAGGATAGGATTAAACTTTTGTGATTCTTCTAAATCCTGGCAACTCAGTATGAGATCCTTGAACTAGCAAAATCAGCATATCTGATAGTTTATTAGAAAGTTAGGCCACAATCCAGGCCAACTAAATTAGCATATGATTTTTACAAAATCCTCTGGTGATCCTTATTGACGTTAAAGGTGGAGATGCATTGCTTTCAGTGATAGATATTCTTCTTTCTGCAAAATGATAGCCTAATTGATGAGCCCTGGTGGCATAGGGGTAAGCAGTTGCACTGCCCACCCAAAGGCAAGCTATTCTAATCGCAAACTGCTCTGAGGGAGAAAGACATTCTCCTCCTTTGTGATTTATTGCATCCTAAAACCTACTGGAAATTAGCCATGAGTTGGTTCTGACTTGACAGCACATAACAATAATTGATGATATTAATGAAATTTAATAGATTACACTATTTTGAGAGGTTTGATTGGGACACTGGAAGATCGGAATAGAGTAGAATAGGACCATTTCTCTGACACAGTCTAGAGGTTAGAGTAAATTTAGGGGCCTAAGAGATAGTCCCTAGGAAATTGGATTCACAAATCTCTCCAGGGTGTGAGCAGGTTGTCCCATCTCCACTGTCCTTTGTCTTGACTTCTTTGTCACTAACATGTCTTTCTTTCCCTATAAACTAGTTTTCCTTTAGGAAAGTGACATGCATCTAGAGTTTTTTAGAGAAGTCTGCACTTCTGTTGATTGTTTTTAGTTAAGTAGATTTCTACTCATAGCAATACCATGTGACAAAGTAGAGGTTTCTATATTGTATTCTTAATGGGAACGCATCACCGGATCTTTCCACCCAGAGCCCGTGAGTGGGTTCAAATTGCCAGCCTATCAATTAGCAGCCAAACACTTAACCATTTTGCCACCAAACCAACACACTTGCACTTTTCATTACATCCACTCTTCATTTCCTTTTTATTTTAATAAAATTTTTATTTTATATTTATTTACTTACAAAGTTTATACACATTGCTTTTTACGCTGGATCTTTCCCATTTCCTTTACCCACTCCCTCTCCCCATCAAATTGTGCCACCCTGTGATTACCCCCCTGCCCATCCTCACCCTCCTCCCTCCACCCACCAAATTATGCGGCTCTGTGATTACCCCTCTGCCCTTCCTCCCCCTTCAGCTCCTACCCTCCCCCCCTTGGATCCTCACACGTGTTTCAGTAGTTTTATGTTTCTACAATAATGGTCTTATGCAGTGTTTGTCTTTATGGTACTGAGTTACTTCACTCAGCATAATGCTCTCCAGTCTCTCCCAAGTTAGGTAGTAATTTACAAAATCATTGCTCCTGCGTGCTGCTTAGTATTCCATCATGTAAATATACCATAATTTCTCAGTCCATTCACCTGTAGCTGGACATATGGGCTTTTTCCAAGTTCTTGTGATGGTAAGTAATGCTACAATGAACATTGGTGTACAAATCGCAGTTTGTGCTTCAGTTCTCATTTTCTCAAGGTATATTCCAAGCAATGGAATAGCTGCATCATATGGACTTTCTATGTTCAGCTTTTTGAGAAAATGTCAAACTGCCTTCCAGAGTACCATTTTACAATCCCACCAACAATGTATAAGAGTTCCTATCTCACCATATCCTCTCCAACATTTATTACTTGCTCTCCTGTTAAACTTTGCCTTTGGTTTCAAAGACCAGATTATTACACAAAAATCACTGTTCCACAAAATATAAAATGACCACATCAGATTATGAAATAGAGAATGAATTTATTACAGAGCCAGCATGTTGCATCATTATACATTTGCTAAATTACATAATAATTTACATAAAATTACATAATCAGTACATAATTGCCAAGCCACTGAAAATCATGATAAAGTCAAGGTCACGCACAACCTATTATTTACAGCCGATGTTGTTGTTGTTAGGTGCCAGCGAGTTGAGTGTGACTCATAACTAATTTGAACTCCATTCTATTCTGTGCCATCCTCACAAACTCTGACACACTCAAGCCTATTGCTGCAGTCACTCTGCCAATCCATCTGGTTGAGGGTCTTCTTCTCTTTTGCTGTCCCTTCACCTTTCCATGTACGATATCCCTCTCCAACGAATAACCCCTCCTAGCAACATACCCAAAGTATGTGAGTCAAAGCTTCTTCATCTTTGCTTTAAAGGATCACTCTGGCACCCTGTCCAAGAAGTATTTATTTGTTCTTTTGGCCATCCATGGGATCTTCAGTATTCTTCTCCAAGTTCAAAGGCATCAATTCTTCTGCTATCCTTAGTCATTGTCTAGCTCTCAGCAGCATAGCAAGTGACTGAAAAAGTCATGGCCTGAATCAGGTGCACCATAACCCTCAAACTTACAACCAGTTTTACACTCCTCTAGAATTTTAGCATTTGTTACAGATATTATGTTATAGTTGTATATTATTAACACACAGAATAATCAGAGGCTAGATTTTAAATATGGATTACATCTTAATGACCAAAACGCTTGCCACTGGACTAATAGGCAACATCATTATGGATAGATAATGGACTGATACTGTTAACGACTTCGTCTTACTTGGACTCACAACACAATCAATACACTTGGTATTAACAGTCAGGAGATCAGGAGACATACTACAATGGGAAAATCTTGTAGTCAGGGACCTCACCAAATTATGTAGGAGAGCAATGATGTCAATTTAGAGACTAAGGTGTGTTTGATCCAAACCATGATCTTTTCAGTCACTTGTTATGCATCTAAGAGGTGAGAAATGAATAAGGATGACAGAAGAATTGTCGCCTTTGAACTATAGTATTGGAGAAGAGTGTTGAAGATTATACGGATTGCCAAGAGAAAAAGAGAACTGCCTTAAAAAGGGTGTGGCCAGAGTGCTCTTTGGAGGCAAAGATGATGACGCTTCATCTCTCACACTTTGGATATGTTGCTAGGAGTGGTTGTTCCTTGGAGTCAGACAACATGCTTGGGAAGGTGGAGAGACAGCGAAGGAAAGGAAGACCCTAAACCAGGTGGACTGACACAGTGACTGCAGCAATGGGCACAAGCATTTAAGAGATTGTGAGGATGGCACAGGACAGGATGGGATTCAGGTCTTTTGTTCCCAGGGTTGCTGTGAGTCATACTTGACTTGATGCTCTCCTAACAACAACATAGTTCTAAATTTAAAATGTTGGGTAGTAAGATATTTGATAGTGAAGAGTAGATGTAGTATATATTTATCATAAATTACATGAGTCATTAACTAATATTTAGCCTATGGATTTACTCCCTAATGCAACTTATTACAACAGCATTCTGTTTATAAGTCTGAAATGCATTTGGCTGGCAATGGTCCATTTAAGAGAGACATGATTGATTTTAAGGCACTGCTATAAAATTACCGATGATGACATTCTAGAATGTTAAATCTACCTAGAGGTATTACTCCCTGGAAAGCCCTATGCAATGAGCCAGAAACTTCTTTAGGGAGAAAATGGATAATTTCTTGAAAACCACATTAATTTTCATATTGTAATTAATAGAAAATTTTAGGTTTTTAAAACAATTTTTTAAAATATAAAAAATTTTAAAAAGCTATCATAATTTTTTTTATTTAAGGGAACTTTTTTTATATTTAGAATTCACATAGCATTTCTCAATGATTCTTCCTCCTTAATATATATTTTCAAAGACATTTGGGGACATTGGATTTTTTATTATATAAAACTATAGAAGTTAGTTCAATTTGTAAAAGAAATAAGAACAGTATGGGAAAGGTCAAGTCCAACGTCTATTTACTCCATAAAGGTAACTGGCTCAACAACATCCACAGTACTAAAATAAGAACTACAAGGTCAGATATGGCCTCCTACACTCCTGCATCTACTTTTGCTAATTGCTGGGTTCAGTATGTGTTGCAAATTGAATCACGGACTTGACCTTACTCATAGTTATGTGGTTTATTCAAGCCCAAGTTCAATCCAGCAATGCAAATGCAAGAGCCTAGGGTTTCTTCAATCATCCAGCAAGTTTTGTCTCGTAGTAATCACAAATCACATCTTCCTCCAATTGTCTAACAAGTAAAACCTTTAACTCTACCTGCATCTGGCTGTGTCCATTTCCAAGGCTCTATGCCTCACTATAGTCTCTTTACAGTCTGGCTAGGTCTCCCTCTGATGTTAGCCCCACAGCTGTTGATGATGTAGAAGACACTGCTCAAAGGGTACAGGTAAATCAAGAGTCTGCAGCTGAAGCCTCTAGAGACCACACCACCAGAGGGGGTTAACACAATGGCCAGAAAAGCCAAATTAAAAATCTTTTGGTTTTGAAAAGAATGTTTTTGAAAGAAACAAAATGAAAACTATCATGAGTTTTGTTATTAAAGGGAACTTACTTGATATTTTGAATTCACATAGCATTTCTCAATGATGGTTCCTCCTTTAATATACTTTTCCTTAGGATTTTGAGGACATTGGATTTTGTATTTCAGTAATACCATAGAAGTTAATGCAATTCATTTTTTTCCATTATAGAATGAAATCTTTTTTTCTAACATTTTAAATGGTGTCCTCAGAGAAGATCATGCCCTGGTGTCTAGAGCTGTGTCAAAGAAGGTGGAAAATTTCACAGAAACAAGTGAAATAAATGAAATATTTGACTTATTCACTTACAACAAGGTAAAAGCAGTCATTTCTTTTAACTCTGCATTCTTCTAGAAAATTGCATTAAATGAGTAATTTTATTATTGTGCACTGTTTTAACTCATAGTGACTCTATAGGAAAGGTTAGGAGTTCCTCGTAGAGTTTCCTAGGCTGCATATCTTTACGGGAACAGATCACCATATCTTTTCTCCTAAGAAGCAGCTGGTGGATTTCAATCACTAACTTTGGTTTAGCCTGTGGATGTTTAGCTACTGTGTCATCAAGATTCCATAAGTGGGTTATAGAGTTTTCAAGTTGGGGTTGACACATAGCTGACCCTCCAATGGATTTTCTTAGGCTGTGAATTGCACAAGAGGAGATTACTCAACTTTATACTGTGGAGTCAATGGTAGATTGGACCTGCCCACGAGGCCCTGCCTTTGACAGTAAGACTCCCTGTGGACTGTGTCATCAGAGCTCCCTTATAGATTAATATGTGGTTATTAAATAATAAATATCAGCATCTTAATTATATTGACAGATGGGCTTCAGAAAACGCAGTTAAATTGATGCTTCTAGTAAATACTTGGGGAGCTTTTAGGAAGTAGTCCATAGTGAGTTGTGCTGTTAGCTGATAGGCTGTGTCTCTGGTGGTTCAGTTCCACTCTTAGCTCCATGGGAGAAAGATGTGCAAATTTCTCTTTTGTGACTTACAACCTCAGACACTCAGTGGAGTGTCACAAAGAGTCAAAATCAGCATAATGACAGTGATTTGCTTCGAGTAGATTTTAGCACCTAAGTACTATCTTCGAGGGAGAAGGATGGGCAAGCTCCTTCCAAACATTAAGTGCCTCTGAAAACCTGGTGGAGGGTCAACTCTGGGTTGGTTCTCACTCCACGGTACACAACAAGTGTTATCTACCATTATAAATAATTTTAGAGAACTTACTACTTTTAAAGTGAATCCTTTTATTGGGTAGAGATTTATTTTTGTCGTATAAATATCTCAAATTTTGAAATTTTTGTGTACTCAAAACTCTTTATGTATATTTACTTCCCTATTCCCTGTTCATTAGTGAGTCTGCTGTTTTATGAGCATATTTTATAATAAGTAAAGCATTGAAATATCGTAGAAAATACTATCAAAAGCATATTGCTTATAAAAGTAGAAGTGTCAGTATGTGCAGATTGAATATTTTTTTTTAAATAACGGACAATTTCTTGTGTCCTAGGGAGCATCCATGGCACGGATGCTTGCCAGTTTCCTGAATGAGAATTTGTTTATTGGAGCCTTGAAGGTGAGTCAATGAAATTTTTGCTACCTAGACAACAGGAAACATAAAATGTCTTGGCATGTTACTTATTTTAACTCTTCTATTTGCAGTCATATTTGGAGACATTTTCTTACTCAAATGCTGAGCAAGATGATCTCTGGAGGCATTTTCAAATGGTAATTGTCTTACTTTCTGACACAGCATTGATGAGTGGTTTTACATGATCCGGTGCAATAAAATGAGGAGGTCTTCTTGTGCCAAGTGCCTAGGAAGATGATTTTGCCTAGTTTGTGATATTCCCTATATCAAAGGTTGTATCTTTTATTGTCAACATTGCAAGTATGCAGAACAAAGCTTGGCATATATCAGAACCATAAATATGTATTGAAAGAATGAACTAATTAATTAAGGAACTCTTCTTCCTATATGACTCATTGCTATTGAGGTGGAACTGGTTCATAGAAGACCCTCCAGTGGATATCTGAAGATGTAAATTGCCCACCTTTCTCCCTTGGAGCCACCAGTGGATTTGAACCACCAAAGAGGCATTACCTTTGGATTAACTTTGCAAATCCCTACTGACTATCCCAACAGAGCTACTGCTTTCTAACAATAGAAGAGAACAAATTCTAAATTTAATCCAGACTGTCAACCTCTGGGGATTATTATATAAATAAGGAATAAACTAGCACTTTAGGGTTTTTTGTTTTGTTTTTTTTAGGAGATGGCTACTCAAGAGGTTTTGGTGATAGATTTATCTGCTTTTGTGATGATTTCTTTAAAACAGGCCATAGATAATCAGAGCAAAATTCTTTTACCTGCAACAGTGAAAAGTATAATGGACAGCTGGACACACAAGAGTGGCTTTCCAGTTATCACCTTAAATGTATCTACCGGCATGATGAAGCAGGAGCCATTTTATCTTGAAAAAATTAAAAATCAGACTCTTCTCACTCACAAGTAGGTTGATTTGCTTCTCTTTGTCTTAATTTCCTTTGAGGTTAAGAGATGGTCACATGAAGCCCAGAGAGGAAGAAGCAACACCCCACTGGTAAACACTATTATGCAGATTAACAGAGAGGGTGACCTAGGGCTCCACTCAGGGCCCTTATGGGGATGCTGCCTATGGACAAGAGCCCTGGGGTGTGGAGCAGGGTCAGAGCCCGCATTTAGGGATTCAAGGCAGGGCCTTTCCCTGAAATTTAAGGCCACATCAACATTGAGAAGGGTGTTAATGCACCTCCTTTTGCTCTTTAAACGAAATAATCAATTACTTGAGGTTCTAGATAAGAAGAATTAAGAGAACTAAAAGTAGACACTTAATAGCTAAGGGAATGGGTCCTATGTTAGCAAATGTCTGTATTTTAGCTAAGGTAAGGTTGTCACCTCTAGAAAAAGAAATGAGTGGTAACTATGCTTATGAGAAATTGATATGTGTGTATGTGTATCTATACCTCTAATATTAGAAGTATGACCTTAGAATCCATTAGACCTCAGATTCAAATACTGACTTCACTAAAATTCAAACCTTAGTTAAATTTTATTTATACTCTCTGGGTTTCACTTGCATTATCTACAAAATTCTAGCAGTGAAAATTGTAATGGCTTGCAGTATCTATAATTGTAATAACACCCAGGAGAGTGTTGTAAAGAAAATGATATAAGGAGTATGAAGTAGCCGAGCATTGATCACATTCTCCTTTGCTCCCCTTTCTTGACTTGCTAGATACTTTCAAGTATTTCATTAGTTTTAACCGTCACATATTCTTGTAGGAAGTATTATACAGAGAATTAACTAATTTTCAAATACCAACATGAAAATTTCCCGCTTTCTTTAAAATTACTTCTTCTCTTTAAATTCCATGATTTATTGATATTTAAAAATCTACTTATGTATTTATTAAAATATTTTGTTATTTTTGAGATGATGTATGTATCTTAGCTATGCAGGTAAACACAGACCCATAGTTCTAAGCTTGGAGAAACCAAGCTTGTATTATTTGAGCAAAATTGCAAAGTTACCCAAACCCCAAGTGGTGGGTCCGCTCAGATGATTAATATGCTTACTCCATATGGTCTACAACTTCATCCAGATCACATCCACCTCTGTGGAAGAATGTGGAAGAATTCAATAAATACTAATGTCCTAGCTGACTCCTATCCAACACTTTTCAGATGGAGAAAAGGTTTGAGGCTAAAATGTATTTTGAAGTGCTTGACAGACTTTCTCTTCTTAAATTACTGCTCCCTTGGCACAGAGGGATTTGAGCCTGTCTGCAACATTTGAGTTACCTCAAATAGGTGGCTATAATCCTAGAAACAACCCTTGACCACTAGCCATCAAGTACCAAACCAAATCCCTTTGCCACTGAGTTGATGTCAACTCAAGGTGGCACTCCACTGAGTTTCCTAGAGGGTAAATCTTTACTGGAGAAGAATGCCCACTTTCTCCAATTCAAATCTCTGACCTTTCGGTTAGTAGTACAACAGATTAGAAGAAGTAAATCTCTACAAAGAGAGAAGAGTAAAGAAGCAGCTAAAGCAAACTAGCTTGTGAAAAACCACAGGAAATAATCCTAAAAGCAAAATCTTGCAAATCCTAAGGAGAGAACCAAAGAACTTGAGTTCTGTCTGCTGTTTTGTCATCTCGTTTAATGTTGGTTCAGAGTTTATATTCTTAAATGTGAAAAATAATGGAATTTTTCATTTTCTTCTAATAAGTGACACATGGATTGTCCCTATTCTTTGGATAAAAAATGGAACGGCACAACCGTTAGTCTGGCTTGATAAGAGAAGCAGTAAGTAAAACATTTTTAAAACATTTTCATGTGTGTACATAAAGGCAGAGAATTAAATGTTGAAATGTCTAGTTTTTGAAACACTATCTAGTTTAAAAGTTAAATATTACATCTTACACATAGTTTTGAAGAAAAGTTCCAACAACCACTATGTATGTAAAAATTGTGTGGTAAGACATTTCAAAATTTATCTTTTTTTGGCCTTTAGGGGAGTTTGGATTAAGACCGAATTGTATGAAAGTGCAATTTTTTTTAAAACCGTATTATTTTAAACTATACACATATTCTTTTGCAGAGGTATTCCCTGAAATGCAAAGTTCAGATTCTGACCATGGTTGGGTGATTTTAAATTTGAATATGACTGGATATTATCGAGTTAATTATGATAAATTAGGTTGGAAGAAATTAAATCAGCAGCTTGAAAAGGATCCTAAGGTAAAACTCCTGTTTTTAATTCTGCTACCCTTACTAAGCATCATAATTAACAATGCACTTTTGTTAATTGTGATGATTAGTCTTTTTAGAGCCAAACTTTTATAAACTTGCCTCATGAGAAGAGACTCCACCCTAATCCCAGCCTTTAATCTGGGTAAACGAGAAAGAGAATTTCCACCCATACCCCTAACTTCCTCACTTCTTATAAGAGAAAATTTGATTGTTTCTGAATTTTCATTTTTCTTCTATATAAAACTTTGTCTTCTCAAGTAGAAATCAGGATAAATTTTCCTATGAATAATTTACTTTGTAGTCTTAGGCAAGTTCCATAAATGCTTTTGCCCATTTTAATGCTTTAAGATAGGAATAAAAAGGTAGAATTGATGTAGGTAAAAGTATGGTTAATATTTCTAAGTCCATAATAAACGCCAATGCCACTGAGTCAATGCCAACTCACAGCGACCCTGTAGAGCAGAATAGAACTGCCCACAGGGCTTCCAAGGTTGCAATTTGTGGAAGCAGACATCTTTCTTCTTTAGACAGTTTGTGGCTTCAAATTTTGGCCTTTGGTTAGTGCTTAACTACTATGCCAGTAGAGCTCCTTGTCATAGTGTGGTTATTATTTTTGTTAAGTGCCACTCAAGTTGACTACAACTTATACTGACCTTGTGAACAACAAATCTGCGCCTTTCCATATTGTGGTAGTCAGTGGGTCAGCCCCTGTGTGGAGGTTCTTCCTCTCTTGTTGACCCTCTGCATGATGACTCTCTCTCCAGGGATTCCAATTCCTCCTGAAAATATGCCCAAAGTACAGTTACCAAGTTTCATCATATTTGTGTCTAAAGGAGCAGCACTCTGGTTGTATTTCCTTCAAAGTGGATTTGGTTTTTCTTTTGGCTGTCCCTGGTATGGTCAGTTCAGGACTCCTCCAACACCACAATTCGAAGGCATTGATTCTTCTTCTATCATCGTTAGCCATTTGTCTAACTTTCAGATGTATAGGAAGCAATTGAAAAGACTTAGCTCAAGCATACCTTAGTCTTTAAACATATATCCTTTCTCTTAGTACTTTGGAGAGGTCTTTGATAGCAGATTTCCCCAGTACAACATATTTTTTTATTTCTTGACTGATACACCATGGATATTGATTGTAGATCTAAATAAAATTAAATAGTTAACAACTTCAGTTTTTTCACCATTTATCATGATATTGCCTATTGGTCAAGCGGTGATTTCTGGATTGGTTTTTTAGGGGATTTTTTTTGTATTGAGATGTAACCCATGTTGAAGGTTGTAGTTTTTATTTTCTGCAACAAATGTTTCTTCTTCACTTTTTGCAAGCAAAGTTGTGTCCTTTGTGTAATGCAGGTTGTTGGGGAGTCTTCCTTCAATCCTGATGCCATATTCTTTTTCATATACTCCAGTTCCTCAAATTATTTTCTCAGCATAAACGTTGAATAAATATGGAGAAAAGATATAATCCTGACATACCTCTTTCCAGATTTTAAACTATGCAGTTTTTTCTTGTTTTCAGACAACTGCTTCTTGGTCAACGTACACATTGCCTCTTAACCATAATTAAGTGTTCTGGGGTTCCTATTCTTTTCAATGTTAACTATAATTTATTATGATTCACATGGTCAAAATATAGCTATATATACTAGACACTATGGCCTAGTGGTAAGAAGCTGCACAGCTATCATGAAGACACATGGTTCAAATCCACCAGCTGCTCTGCTGGAGAAAGATGAACAATCACCTCCCATGCGAATTAACTGCTCTGAAAACTCACTAGAGGAGGTCATCTATGGATCAGTTCAAACTTGATGGTAAACAATAACAATAGCATTAATATTACTCCTGGAAATACGTTTTCTCAAAGAAGAGAATTAATAACATATAAGTCACATGATTTTCCAATGCTACTTTAAGTTATTACTGTAAATAATTATGCAGTGTATAAGCTTGACAACTTATGCTAGCTTAGTCTGATTTTAATTTAATTAAACCAAGCGCCCATGGGAGGAGGAACCCTGGCTTAGAAGTCTGTGGAGTTGGCCGTCCTGTGACGTGCTATGTACATGCTATTGGACAGTTTGTTTGGGCTCTGTTTGTAAAACTGGAGTGTCTCCCAGAGACACATAGCAGTGTCTCTAGTTGAAGAGGCAGTATCGTCTATCAGTGCAGAGCCTGGGTTCTAAAACAGAGAGATTTAAGTTCTATTTCTATTTATCAGTTTTCTGGAGAGGAAGACCCTCCACCAGGTGGATTGATACGGCAACAGCTGCAGTGGGCTGTTGGGTGTCAGAAGTGTGAAGATGGTGCAAGATAGACCAGGGTTCAGATCTTTTATTCATAGGGTTGCTATAAGTTGTGGACAATTCAATGGCACCTAACAACAACAAGTTGTTTCTTTGGGTCTCTTATTTGGGTAGTTGAGCTCAAAGTTTCTCATCTATAAAATGTAACAAGAGGACCTCTGGTGGCCTAGTGGTGAATTACCCCAGAGATAATGCAGTTCAAATTCACCAGCTGCTCTTGAGGGAAAAAGATAAGCAAACTCATGAGCAATTTATATCCTCTGAAAACTTGCCAGAGAGACAGCTGTGAGTCAGTTTCTACTTGATGACTATAAACAATAACTGCAAAGCCATGAAACACATCAATCTTATCGCTGTGAAGATTAAATAATGTTTAACTGAGTCTTGACATATTTCAGACATTGAGGACATGCTTAGTAATTTTTAAAAATTGCTACTGATATTTTGAATAAAACAACAAAAGCATCTGTAGTGTTTTCTATTCAGAGTGGCTAAATTCTAACTCATTTTTAAGGATGGCTAAGCCATGAAAACACTAGGTCATGTCATGAATTGATATCTTGAACATTAGAAAATTGTTTCTACAAGGTAGAAAAACTTGTTCTGGAACATTTTGAAGGAATGCTGTGCATGGGTGCGTGCTCACTCACTCGCTCTCAGGAAGCAACTTAAAATTGAAGCATACGATGGGTTGACAATAGCAAGGGGCCAAAACTGAAGCCAAAAATGTTAGACTGACGAATGACATCTACCAATCTGTTCAGAAGAAGCTGTCATGGTGGCCTGGTGGCAAGAAGCTGCGCTGCAATCCCAAAGGCACACATCTTGAGATCACCAGCTGCTTTGCGGGAGAAGGATATGCAATCTCCTCCTGTGTGCTTAACTGCTTCTGAAAGCCCACCAGAGGGTCAGCAATGGGTTGGTTATGACTCTACGGTAAACAATAACCAAAAAGTCAGTAGGCCCAACCCAGTAGCCATTCCATGGGAGAAACCTGAGGTAATCTGTTCCCATAAATATGTATCACCTTGAAGCCATATAGTGTGGTTCTACTATACCCTACAGGGTTGCTAGGAATGGGAATCAAATCCCCTACGGTAAGTTTCTGGCTTTTGTGGATATAAATTACTATAATAGTAGAATTATGACCAATTAGTAAAATTATGTGAATACAGATACCATCCAAAAAAGTATCATCTTTGCTTCCAGAAAGCACTCCGACTGTAGCCTCTCCAAGACATATTTATTTGTTCTCTTGGCCATCCCTGGGATGTTCAGTGCTCTTCTCCAGTATCCCAGCTCAAAGACATCAGTTCTTCTGTCATTCTTATTCTTTATTCAGCTCTCAGATGCATAACAAGTGATTAGAAAGATTATGACCTGAATCAGATGCACCTTAGTCCTCAAACTAACATCATTACTCCTCAAAAATTTGGAGAAGTTCCTAACTGGAGACTTTACCAGTGCAATGTCTCCTGATTTCCTGGCTTCTAGTACCAAGAGTGTTAATTGTGGATCCAAGTAAGATGAAGTTGTAGACAGTTTCAATTTTTCCATCTATCATGATATTGTCTATAGGATCAGTGGTAAGAATATTTTCTTGATACTGAGATGCAATCCATATTGATGGCTATATTCTTTATCATCTACAAAAAGTGCTTCAATTCCTTCTTTTCTTCAGCAAGCAAGATTATGTCATCTGCATAGTGCAGGTTATTGATGAGTAATGTACATTCCTCTTCATAGAGTCCAGCTTCTTGAATAGTTTCCTCAGCATACAGATTGAATGGCTATGAAGAGAAAATACAACCCTGACATACTTCCTTCCTAATTTTAAGCCATGTAGTGTTCCCCTGCTCTGTTCACACAACAGCCTCCTGTCTATAGGTTTTGCATGAGCACAGTGAAGTGCTCTGGGATTCCCCATTCTTCTCAATGTCAGCCACAACTTGTCAGGATCCACACAAATGCCTTTGCAGAGTCATTAAAGCACAAACATTCTTCTGATATTACTTACTTTCAACTAGGATCCATCTGACATCAGCAATGATATCCCTGGTGCCCCAGCATCTTCTAAATCATGCTTGAACTTCTGATAGTTCCTTATCTATGGTCTAGTCAATTTTAATGATTTTCAGCAGTATTTTGCTTGCATGTGATATTGTTTGATAGTTTCCACATTCTGTTGGGTCACCTTTCTTGGTAATGGGAACAAATATAGGCCTCTTTCAATCTGTAGACCATAGACATGTCCTCCAAATTTCCTAGCATAGACTGGGGAGCACATCCAGGGCTGCATCTATCTGTTAATTGAAACAAGTCAATTGGTATCCCATTGATTCCTGGGGTTTTATTTTTTACCAGTGCCTTCAATGCAGCTTCCATTTCCTCTCTGCATTTCTCAAGCTAAGAGAGGAGAAAAACAAATTTAAGCCTTGAGTGGCAATATCAAAAGATGCTATGGGCAATATACTGAATGACCTAGAAAACATCAAAAGAAGACCGAAGGAGAGTCTCTTTGGAGGTTCTAGCAGGGGAGCGCAGCTTTTCCTATATGCTTGATGAAAGGACGGTCCTCCTATCAGCAATGGTTGTCCTCTTAAGCTGAGCCTGCAGCTTCGAGAGGGATGCACATGGATTTGTGAGATAGGAAGGGGACACATGCCTAGCCAGCCAGATCAGCTGAACCAAGAGATACCGTTGTTGTTGTTGTTGTCAAGTCGAGTCACAGGTGACCCATAGCGACCCTATGAACGAAAGTCCTGGACACTTCCTGTATAACTTTCATCCTCTCTTCAGGTTCATAGGGTTTCCAGAGGCAAGCTGTTATGGAAGTCGATGCCACTCCTGCTTCCAAGCTTGTTTTAATTGGGGAGCTTCACCAAACACTGTCCACCATGGGTAACCATTTTCGCAGTTGACTCATCAGTGTCACAGTGTTCAGCTTCACAGCAACCACGAGTTACCTCTGTACAGCAAGTGGACAGACCAGTGCTATATGACCTGGAATATGTTTCACCAAAGTCAATTAAAGGCAGGCCTGAGGACTGCTGAGAAGAGTCACCCACCTTTGGCTTAGGAGCATGGTTTTTTGTCCACTAGGCCCACTGTTCTCTCTATGCTGTTGGTGGTGGTGACGACTCATAGCGACCCTATGAACGTAAGTCCTGGACACCTCCTGTACAACTTTCGTCCTCCTTCTAGGTTCATAGAGTTTCCAGAGGCAAGCTGTTATAGAAGTGGATGCTACTCCTGCTTCCAAGATATATGGTAGCTTTTATTTAAATAATAACAACAGCAAAATCACTGTACCAAAAAGCACTAAGTGACATTGAAAATATTAGGAAGTACCATGTGAGCAGAATCGAATGGTAATGAAGAAGGATATGGAAGCTGCATTGAAGCACTGGCAAAAACAAGGTGGGGGAGAGTGAATTGTACTATTTACTGCCTGTTAGAAGAGTCTTGGTAACACCATGATCAAGCTTTCCACTGGTAACCAAAAAGTGAGAAGTTTGAACCCACCAAGTTGCTCTGTACGAGAAAAATGTGGTAATTTATTCCATAAAGATTAAGTCTTAGAAAACGTATGGAGCAGTTCTACTGAATAATATAAGATTGCTTTATATGAATCAGAACTGCCTCCAACGCAAAAGCATAGGAACTGCTTACCAGCCAGTGTAGCTGTAGGCAGTTTACAATTCACTGATATCCTAAATATTAGAAATTTGAACTAGTGATGCCATGAAAAAAAGGCTTAATGATCTGCTTCTGCAGAATTTGTAGTCAACACATCCAAAAACTTCTCCAACATGGTAAAAAGGGAAGCCACAGACTGGGAAAAAGTATTTGGTAATGACATGTCAAATAAGGGACTTGTATCTAGAATTTATAAAATACTTGAGCACCACAACAAGATAAAGGTAAAGAATCCAATTGAAAAATGCGCACAGGATATGAATCGACACTTCACAAAAGAAGACATTCAGATGCCCAACAAGCACATGAAGAAATGTTCAAAATCTCTAGGTCTAAGAGAGATGCAAATCAAAACGACTGTAAGATATCATCTCACCCCACACAGAACAGCAAGATTTAACAGAACAGCAAGCAACAAATGCTGGCTAGGTTGTGGAGAAACCGGAACCCTTATTCACTGTTGGCGGGAGTGTAAAATAGTACAACCACTGTGGAAAGTGGTGTGGCACTTTCTCAAAAAGTTGCAAATAGAGATACCATTTGATTCAGCAATTCTACTACTGGGCATATACCCCAAAGAGACCATAACTGACATCCAAGCAGATATATGCACAGCCATGTTCATCGCGGCTTTGTTCACAATAGCAAGGAGTTGGAAACAACCTAAGTGCCCATCAACAAACAAATGGTTTTTTAAAATTTTGTTTTTCTGAGTTGTTAGATACCATTGAGTTGAGTACAATTCTTAGCGGCCTTATGAGCTACAGATCTGAACCATGTCCTCTCCAGTGCTATCCTCATCATTTCTGACATACTTACGCCCATTGCTGCAATCACTGAGTCTGTCCATCTGATTGAGGGTCTTCCTATCTTTTGCCAACCCTGTACTCATCCAAGCAAGACGTTCTTCTCCAAGGAGTAACTTATCCTAGCAACATTCCTAAAGTATACGAGATGAAGCTTTACTACTTTTGCCTCCAAGGAGCAATCTGGTTGAAACTTCTTTAAGACATATCTCTGTTCTTTTGGAAGTCCATGGGATTGTCATTATTCTTCTCCAATATCACAGTTCAAAAGGTAATACTTCTTCAATGAATCCTTATTCATTCTCCGGCTCTCAGATGTATAGCAAGTGATTGATAAAACCATGGCCCGAATGATCTTTTCTATTTTTGCTTTATTATTACTTTTAATGAAAATTTACGGAGATTTTGGATTTCCATTCATTCATTGTTGCCCTTTTCTCTCTGCCCACCCCTGCCCGCTAGTTCATTCTTCTCTTTGAAAAGCAAAAGAAAAATTCTTTCATTGTTATACAATGCCTTTCCTCCAAGTCCACTCCACTGTGCAGCCTTTGTTCTGGACTCCTTTCATGACAATAATACCTAATCACATATCCCTTTTAAACAGCTCTCTTCCTCATCTGTTTCAATGCAGTATACATCATTCATCCCATCTTTCTTAGTCTCCCCCCAACCCAGCTGTCAGTCCCATTTTACAACAGTGGCACTACGCATTATTTGTCCTTTTGTGACAGATATTTCACTCAGCTTAATGTCTTCCAGGGTCACCCATTTTGAATAATATTTAATAAGTCCCTTGTTTTTCAATGCAGCATGATATTCCATTGTGTGTATACACCACAGCTTCTCTATCCATTCGTTTGTTGACAGGCACTTAGGTTGTTTCCAATTCTTTGCCATTATGAACAAAGCCGTGATAAACATGGGTGTGAATCATCTTTTTAAACATGGGAGCTCTAGTGGCATAGTTCAATGGGAGCTGCACTGCAAACCCAGAGGTGGTGCATCCCTGGCAGTAGCATCTGGTTCTGCAGAAGAAAGATGGGCAGTCTGCTCCCATGCAATTTCAGTCTCAGAAAATGAAGGGGCACCAGTGTGTTGGTTCCTAACAGTGGCATTGAGTTTGAGGGTTTTTTGGGTTTTAAACTTGATTTCTTTTCTAATTAGTTTTTTAAATTTTATACTGGCTTACATACAAAGTTCATAAAGTTCCTATACATTGTTTTTCACACTATCTTTCCCCTTTCCTTTACCCATTCTCCCTCCACCCATCAAATTGTGTGACCCTATAATTAAGCCTCCCCTCCTCTCCGTGGATCCTCAAACTTGACTCCTTTTCTTATTTATAAATGTAGTGTTTTGGGGAATACTTTGGCAAAATTCTCTGCCATATTTAAGCTTTATGAATTGATGATTTGGGAAATCACTTACCAAAAATAGATGTAAAAGACAGTATCAAGACTATTCTAGTTAGCTATCATTTCTCTGCAGTTGTAATAATTCACACAAAATATAGAACTATTAAGATTAACAATTATTATTATTATTTTAAAACTGTATTTTAATTTTTAAAAATGATCTCATCTTTTCTACAACATGTTGTTGTTGTTGTTGTTATGTGCCATTGAGTAGCTTGCGACTCATAGTGACCCCTATGTACAACAGCCCTAATATTTGGATTTAATTCTGCAGGCTATTCCTGTTATTCACAGACTGCAGTTGATTGATGATGCTTTTTCCTTATCTAAGTGAGTATATTTTTTTTCTCTGGTGGTTTTATAATGTAAATTGAGGTTATTATTAAAATAACACCATTATCACTATGAAATTGCTTCTTTATTATATGCCTAATTTACTAAGATGAGGACCAAATTCTGTAGTTATGATTGAATTGTATAACAAATAAAAGTTGCTGAAAATAAACAGACCAATAGATCAAGATTTTTAAGTGATTTTTGTTACCCAAAGGTGATGGCTGTTGATACAATTTTAATGAGAGCTTCACTGTATTTTAATTTATTGAAAAATCATTTTCTTAAGCTATGCTGTTAAGTATTAAGCCTTATAAATTAGAATATGTGCAAAATTTTTAAAACAATATAAGAAGCATATATAATAAGTTATCCATTATTCTCTCTTTCTTTGGCTTCTGTTTTATGCTTTATATCTTTACGCCTTTTATCTTTCTGTAACCTATTCAACATTTCTTTGCTGAAATTCCCAAGTGTCCCAAAATTTTTGAGACTATTGATCACATCCCTTTGAAAATGTTCTGCGCTTCCTGAGACTTGGATACCAAGTCGATTTTCTTACTGTATCTTATTCTTGCTGCTTCTATCAGAATTCTCAAGCTCAATCATGATTATGTTCTTTTCTTCTGTTGTTTTGTCTTAGTTATCATTTATTCACTCTTTTGGCCTCACTGATAATTTTTATTATGTATATGCTCAGATACTAAAGGGAATTTTGTAAATATGATATTGTTACTTGATTACTTCTAAATCTGTACCCCTACTTGTCTTTCTTCTTGTCTTCTATTTATTCTATGGTTTTATCCTAAAGATTTCTTATTTCCAAATTGTTCCTTTAAATATACTGTTACGTTATTCTTTCCAGTATTCATGCTTGAAACGTGTGCAGTATCCTTGACTTCACTTCCTCTCTCCATCTCCCATGCTTATACAGTCATTGTGTCTTATCATTCTATTCTTGCTGTCTTTTTGGTTTTCACCTTACAAGCCCCACTGCTTCCAAACCAACTCAGGCTTTAATCTTTTGGCTGGCCTATTTTATTGCCTGAAAGTCTTTTGTTGTTGGTGGTGTCTCCAAGTATGACTCATTGCAACCCTTTGAACAACACTTGAATCCTGTTCCATCCTTGTCATCTCTGACATACTTAAGCTCATTGCCCCAGTCACTGTGTCAGTCCATCTTGTTAGAATCCTTCCTCTTGTTCATTGATCCTCAACTTTTGAAATGTGATATCCCTTTCCAAGGAATAGCCTCTTCTAGCAGCATGTCCAAAGCATGAGAGATGAAGCTTCACCATCCTTGCCTCCAAGGAGCACTCTGGCTGTGCTTTCTCCAAGACAAGTTTCAAGTTCATTCTTTTGGCAGTCCATCAGATATTTGGTATTCTTCTCCAACACCATAGCTCAAAGACATCAGTTTTTCTTTCATCCTTATTCATTGTCCAGCTCTCATATAAATAGCAAGTCATTGAAAAGAACATGGCCTGAGTAAGGCAAATCTTCGTCTTCAAACTTACATCATTGGCCTTCACTGTTTTAGAGCTATCCCTGACAGGAGACTTGCCCAAAACACTACATCTCCTGACTGCTGGTACCAAGGATGTTGATTGTGGATCCAAGTAAGATACCATTGACAGTTTCAGTTCATTCTCCATCTATCATGATGTTGCTTATTGGTCTAGTGGTAAGAACCTTTATTTTCTTGATGTTGTCATGTAATCCATATTGAAAGCTGTAATCTTTGATCTTCTACAGCAAATGCTTCAATCCTTCCTCAGTTTCAGGATGCATGATGTTGTTGTTGTTTGTTGTTATGTGCCGTCGAGTCGCCTGCGACTCATAGTGACCCTATGTACAACAGCCCTAAACTCCACTCTGTCCTGTGCCAATCGCACTGTCTCTGACACTCCCATCCCAATTATCCCAGTC